CTTTCATCCTTTCTGTTAATCTCAGGATTTCTAGCAGTGATCCACAGGCTTCAGGTGTCCTTCGACTGAGATGTCCTGTCGTGCTAGGATCGTGACTTTCACACAAGAACGATTCTTCAATACAGCGCAAATGGCTCACAGAAGCAATACGTAATGTATTAGGTTGATGCAAAGTTTTTTCCCCCTGTTTTGATCCTTCCGTATTTCGTTTGCATGGATGTTGGTATTTCGTCATCACGTGTGCGTGACGTGTACATGATACTCTTTCATCACACTAGCTATCACTCACCCACCCTGCATTTGCAGGCTACAATGCCGCACAATTACCAGTGCAAAACCATGTCACAGTGGTGATGCGGCATTGTGGCCTTCTTCGGGTCCCAGCCCCGTCCTTCTGGAACGATGGAACCGACAAGCTGCGCCTGAAATACATGTAGAACGTATCCTGTGGTGGAGCAGGAGCAGGATGTGGTTTGTTTAGCGCCAATCATGCTAACTTTGGATGCGCCGCGCATTGAGGTCCGCGCAGAGGTGATGGGATGGTGATATGTTTGAGCGTAATGTCTGTCCACGCGAGCAAATGTGTCTATAGGATTCAGGGAGGTCCATGGCGAACCTGTGCACTTGTTTACAGTGTTTTCCGTTGCGTATGATGGAGCGTGTCCCTGTCGACGCCGCCAGATTCGTGCTCCGCCAATTGCTGATTCCGATAAAGGAGACCAACTGCTGGAAAACGTCTGATACGAACGATATGGTAGTCCTGTCGTTTGTCGAAAAAACAGGTTGGCTCAGCGCCAAGCGCGATCGCGGACACGCCCCATCATCCGCAGCGAACCAGAGTATGAGTTGTACTGTTTAGTCACTTACGAGATGATGTCGACTTTTTATATTTCCAGTTATTTCAGATTAGTTTGATGAATGAAAGTTTTGTACTATTTTTTTTACATATCCGAGTTCTCTACAAAGCAAGCTTCGCTGTACAGTACTCAGCACACTGACGCTCGTTACTGGCTACCGCACTCATTACGACCCCCCCCCCTCTCCTGGCGGCCAAATACGACCCCCCTGTTGGGGATTCCCCAACCAACGATGTGCCCTGTATATAGATCTGATAGTCAACATGGTGAACGGAAAGATTAATACTAAATTGTACAAAACAATGTGCATTCATAGCTTGCGACCATGAAGAAATGCGGAATCTGCGGAAATGACGAAAAGCATTGTATACATCGATTTTGAAGAAATGCAGAAATGCCGAAATTGCAGAAGTGCGACGTATCGATTTGAAGAAATGCAGAAATGCCGAAAGTGAAGAAGTGCGGAATCTGCAGAAATGCCGAAAGTGCGGAAAATCGATACGTATCGGTTGCTTTTCGTCATTTCTGCAGATTCCGCACTTCTGCAGTTTCCGCATTTCTGCATTTCTTCATTTCGGCATTTCTGCAGATTCCGCACTTCTGCAGTTTCGGCATTTCTGCATTTCTTCAAATCGATATGTATATAATGCTTTTCGTCATTTCCGCAGATTCCGCATTTCTTCATTTCTGCATTTCTTCATGGTCGCAAGCTATGAACGCTGCCTAAGATAGTCAGATTTTCGCATAGTAGTACACATTTCCCGCATTAATAAACTTCTATATCTGTTCGATCATTGATATTCGAAAGCAAAATAACGGATATGGTCACAACACCTTTGGGAAAAGTTTACAAAGGAGACTTTATTATAATTAACGCAGTTAAATGTTCTTACAAAAACAAATTTATATTTCACAAGTGCTCTATCGCAAATAATTACAAAAAGATAAGTAAACTGGTTGAAGGTATTCTCATTGGTAATGGTAGTTGATCTTAACTCTCGTTTTATAACTTCAATTCCTTCAATTCTGTATACAATAATCCTTCAGTTCTGAAGTTGGTTCATTTATTTGTCAGGTTTTTCTGTGATTCGGCCTGCGCTTCATTCCTTCTCATATGATTCAGAACAAGTGTTTGAAAGAAGGTAATGAATGTGGAGCTCAAAACTCTAGAAAATAGATCGACATTGCAACTGGTGAGGAAGAAAAACGCTACATGTATGAGAGTTGTTTCAGAAATGGTTTTACGGAACGTCATAGTGTTAACGGAAGACGGGCCCCATTTATTTCATACCGGCTCATATCATGTGAGAAGAACCAAGACCAGGAGCCCTCATAACAAAAGACTAATACACGTTAGGCGTCCATGAACAAGGATAGTTTGAGGATTCTACGTTAGCTAGTAAAACACCGGATCACAAACTGAAACCTGACGATTAAATGGACCAACTTCACCTTTTCAGAGTATTTTTGCATTCAGAATCATCAAAAGGAACCTAGAGCGCGTTCAGAGTTCGCGATCATGCGATCGGATCGCTCGACCGGATCGCGCTATTGGGATGGATGAGATTCACAGTGGGGGGAGGGGGGGTGTTCACGTTTATGTTCACGTTGTTTGTTTTAGGTTTGTCCTTTCGTGAAGTGTCACGGATATCGCCGAAGTCGTCGTCCAAAGAGTTTCTCTGTTGTTTGAAATAGTCTTTTTCAGAGTTGTTCGCATCACATGTTTTAGTATAGCTGTTTTACTAAATGAATGCTATATTATTAGAATAATCAATCAATATTTATTCATATTCTAGAGATCTGTTCCAAACATCAATGGTATGTTGGCGCATGTAATAGGATATTTTCCGTTGATGCATGTTGTTGCTGCTATCGATCGCCCCTAAAGGAATTGTCTTTTTCGCTTTGAAAACGCTTCATCTTTTATTGGACATGCTAGCAGATGATTGTTATAGGTTCTGGAATCTCTTGTGATACAAAACCTCCTTTCATTCATTAGTTCATTTATATTATGCAATATCAATAGGATTTCAGAAACGTTTCGAAATTGGGCACTGTTGAACCATTCCTACCCCAAAAACTGAAAAAAATTTTTTTGCTGAAACGTTGCCTATAGGTGTAATTCGATGTCCTGATCACGAATATCACATTCGTTTCAAGCGCTGGCGTCATCTGGCGCCATTATGCGCCAATTTGGCGCCCACCACTTTTTTCACCAAAGTTGATGAAAACTTGCATATGGGGGTTAATCGACATCCTGATCACGAATATCACACTGGTTTCAAACGCTGGCGCCATTATGCGCCAATACGGCGCCAAATTGGCGCGTAATGGCGCCAACGCCAAAAATGAATGTCGGATTCGTAATCAGGACCTTAAGTAACCCCCATATGCAAGTTTTCATCGACTTTGGTGAAAAAAGTGGTGGGCGCCAAATTGGCGCATAATGGCGCCAGATGACGCCAGCGCTTGAAACGAATGTGATATTCGTGATCAGGACATCGAATTACACCTACAGGCAGCGTTTAAAGGCACAGTTCGCGAGCAATTGCGGGAAACGGAACTCAAATAGGCACAAAAAAGTGCTAAGTATCTGATTAGCGGAGAAAAGCAGCAAAAAGCAGTCCGAAATGTTATAGAGAAAGATAACATAGTGGCTACTAGCTAGTAGCTAGCAGCCGGTGAGGGTCGGCATGGGCCTAATTAGTCAGCTTCTAGCGGAGTTCTTGCCGTTTTTCACATTTTGAAAGTAGCGCAGCCTCAAAAATCGCCTTCCGGATCGTCCGACACATTTGAGAGGTCATAGCCTTATTTTATCGCGGAATGTGCCTTTAAGCAAAAAAATTTTTTTCAATTTTTGGGGTAGGAATAGTTCAATAGTGCCGTGGATCTTGTTGTTTTTCAGCATGGATAGTCATCCAGGTAACTTTTGTTTTTAGCTCGACTTTTATGTAAATTTCACTTACGTGGTAGGGAATTTCTCTTGATTTCGTATTTTTAGTCGTGGTCAAAATAAAACATCAAAAAGCTCTAGCGACAGAAAAGAAAGAAAAACTTACCTCTACAGCAATCACCGTAAAAACTTGGGTGACCAACTAAAAATACGAAACCAAGAGAAATTCCCTACGACATAAGAGAAATTTACATAAAAGTCGAACTAAAAACAAAAGTTACCTAGATGACCATCCATGCTGAAAACAACAAGCATCCACGAGATTGCCAAATTCCGGATCTGCAAAAAATGAAAAGGAATGCAGAAGAACACAATGCAATTTCGAAACGTTTCTGAAACGCTATTGATATTGCATAATATAAATGAACAGAAAAAGACTATTTCAAACAACAGAGAAACTCTTGGACGACGACTTCGGCGATATCCGTGACACTTCACGAAAGGACAAACCTAAAACAAACAAAAAACAAACAACGTAAACATGAACATGAACAAACATGAACCCTCCTCTCCCCCGCTGTGAATTTCATCATTTCAATTTCAGATACAATTCTCGGGAGGCGTTCATAAAACCAGGTGGTATCGGAAGCCCAGCAGTAAAAAATCATCGGTAATTGCAGCTCGGCTCACCTGTAATACTAAGAAGGCCAACATGTTCCGTACGGCCTCTGCAGTTTCATCTGATGGCAGTGCAGAACAGATTCTATAACACTAGCGCATCGTATCAGCGCAAGAAAATGGCTACATTCGACGTGGACAGCCGACATGGCACAGGAGACGGATTTCTCACCGAAGACCGACGAGAAGTAGAGCAAAGCAAGCTACCGCTTTGTATTCCGTTTGTATCGGATGACGTGAGTGCTGCTATTCGGGCTTGCATAAGGAAAGCGGATCCTTCA